ACACACACACACACACACACACACAAGTCTAAACAAACACAATGTTTTCAGCAACCAAACAGGTCTCATGTGTACATCACATTGTTTGCAACAGACTCGGGGCAACATGTGCATTCCCTGGTGCATGCGCACACAAGCGCACACAAGAGCACACAAGTGCACACAAGCGCACACAAGTGCACACAAGCGCACACAAGCGCACACAAGTGCACACAAGAGCACACAAGTGCACAGCCAAACAAAAATACTCAGACGTCTGTGAGTCTCTTTTGTCTCAGGTTTTATCATCACTAATATCCTCAAAGTCACTGGATGTGTTCTCTGATATCACGTCCAAGCAACACTGTGGATGTTCTTGTATCACACATATACGCGCACACACACACACACACACACACACACACACACACACTTAACACCCTTTGTGTGACCTGTGGCTGGCCTGTCTTATCTGCTGGAGCCTGAGGAAATGGAGCCAGACTGTCTCTGTCAGCCACCTCCAGCTAAATATAGATCCTGAAGGAAAGTGCTCTACGCATTAAGACAACCATGACCACACAGAAAGCTGCTGGTGCTGCATCACTGTGATTAATCTGGACTTTAAGCTCCAAGAAGAAGTAATATGACATATGTGGCCTGTGCAACTGGAACCCGTCGCCTCCTGTCGCATACGCCTGCTTATGCTGATGAGCGCCGACAAACTCATCCATGCTAGTGTGTGCATGCACTCAGACACACACTCCAAACACATCCTGCATAATGTAAAACTTTTCATCCAGCTGACAGCGACACGCTGCAACCACCAACACAGATTATAAGGAGAGAGGAAGTACCGTCTTTTAAGAGCCCACCTTTGTTAGCACACGCCATCCATTTGAGATTTTCTGCGAAGGCTGATTCTCGACCAATCAGGTAAGGAAATATACGGACCTGGGGAAAGAAAAGCAGATACCTCCCATCATTCATTTTAATCATATTTGATAGGGGCCGCCGTGGTACCATTCAGAAGATAACACTGTGAAAGCCTGGCAAAAGACTCACTCTTTCTCATTTAGTGATTACCAAGTCCTTTCTCCTAGTTGATGATTGAACGTTTATTGTGTTACCTTTAAATTTACATTTTCAGTTCCAGCTATTTTTATTTATATATTCAAGAACCTAAAAATTAAGGATGAGCAAAAGTAGGCGAGTGTTTTGAAAATCTGCAATTACAGTGATTACAAAAGATAAAACGCAAATTTTAATTTGAAAAAGCAAGCTTTATGTGCTCAGCACGGAGAATCTTCTTTACTCTTATGTGCCAAACCCATTTTTTCCTGGCTCATTGGCTCCAGCAGCAGGTGAATTTGGCAGGTGCATGTATGAGAGTGTTAAGAGATTTGTTGCCAGATTGGACCAGATGCAAGCCTCTGGGGGCACAGCTGCTGTGCCTATTGCATATGCATTTTCCACTGACTTCCTTAACCCCGACAGCATGTTTCTGTTTGTGTGTGTACTGTGTGTGCTGCATATGAATACACATGAGTGCGTAGACCTCTCAGAGTTTTAAACATGTATTTGGTACAATTTTGGAACTCAGAAAGTCTGAAAATTGCAAAAATTAATGCAAAAATATCATTTATGAATAGATGCAATTGACTTTTCCTGGAATATGTATGCGCTGCATTCTCTATTACATTGTTTTTAACTAAAAAAGTCTTTAAAATTAATACGTAAATTTACCACCTTGACCGTGGACAGTTCTGAATTGTTTTTCCAGATAATGTCGTCTGTTGATAACGGTAATATGTTTCACTGAATAAGCACAGTTGTTTGACTGTCATTTTTTAAGCACCGCTCATTATCTCGACCACAATAATCCTCTATTCATTAAACTTCAGCCATTTGACTGACACTGTTAGGAAAACACTACACAGCTGTTACAATCAGAATAACGCCGCGTCAGACTTTGATGAAGAGGTGTCATGTAAGCTTTTCTTTGTGTGATTATGTGTTTACTTCACTGAAAGCCAAACCGCAACAGACTGGTTATTAAATATGGACGAGGTTTACAGCTGAGTAAGAAAAACTGAGCTAGAAGAAGAAATTGTAGAACTTGAGCCAC